TCAGCGGTATATAAATGGACGCATATGTTTTGATGAGGTAACATAGAAATGATTAATGCTGCATACGCTACCTAGAGGCATCAAATTCGCCCATTACAAGAAAATTGGTGTTTTGTTGATTGGCATTTACCACATATTTAGGCCGAGTGCCGGATAGAACCGTCCAGAACCGGAAATTTCCAGTTGTAGCTGCATTGTGTGTGTATTGGCAAAAAAATCAACGCGTTGACAAGTTTAGGAAATACCCTATCAAGGTAATCAATCGAATCAAGGAAACGCTTACCGGACGGCTATTAGAAACCTTTTTAGTATTAAGTTAATGGAAATCGCCAATCTCTTGAACGTTTATATTGGTTATGTTAAAGGTGACAAATTAACAATAACTCCCGTATTTTCTCATGTCAAATTCGTTTCCATCGAGAAATGATTGATATGGCGTTTCACCACTTATTCAAACAAGGTTCTCTTAGGTGAGCGGACCCTGTTATTATGTGAGGACGTCGTCGAGGGGGGGGGTCGTAACTTTCCCACTCCAGCCGTCGCGGGCGTAAGTTTTTTTAAACGAAAATAAACTCAAAATATTTGGATATATGAACCGTATTAAAAACACCATAAGACAAAATTTGTACAACGCAAATGGAAAGATATATCTAATTTTAGATTTCCATTTTCGCGATTAGAACCCAAATATCTCGACACCCAACACCTTTCATGCGTAGACAAGTTAAATATTCATAAATTGTTTTGTATTCATTCAAAAACGCGAAATTGAACTTTAATGAGCGTGGAAAGTCTGGAAACTATGGTGATCGGCAGCTGGTAAACGCGCACTTCGCTTATAGCGTGTTTGTTTACTATGGGTTTCCGCGACTAAGTTATTTTCCATTTGCGATCCTGTGGCCTCCTATGGCTGATATAAAGTCTGTGTATCTGTAGCCGAACCCGATGCCATGATTTTGTATTAACAAATACAGGGTGTCCATAAAGTCCCTTTACAATTTCAATCTTGTTATGAAGTCAGTTCTCAATATATCCTAACCAGGTTCGTTGTTTTTAGTCAGTAATTGTTCAAGTATTTTTACTTCTTTTATTACATCTGTGAGGGCCAAAACAATATATGGTATCGAAAAATTCCCTTATAAATTGGAAAAAAAATTCTTACATGACACTTTCACGAATTTAATCTCGTAGCCTTTCGTCTGATCAACGTCAAGACCTCTTTAGATAAGCAGTTTACAACACTCAATAAGTTTTTGAATTGTAAAATGATTGACATTAACACACTGTATATAAAGATATTATCAAAATAACTTATTTTATTCGCCAACGTCTAAATTACTTGGAAGCACATTTTTCGGATTGTAACAATTCTTTCAAACACACTTTATATAAAGATATCGCCAACTATCCATTATTTCCACCCAAAAGTCAACTTCAAAAGCGACTCAATTACTCAGAGTAGCAGATGGAAAGCGAATCGACTCAAAAATTAATTACGAAAACTGACGCGTATATTTTCAAAGTAGGAACGTAATCTAAGACTTTATCTGAACTAGCGGTTACATGCACCTGCCTACGTGGCCTTATCTCCTAATATTAAGATGTTATGGTTGTATTATGTATGGCCGTGTATGTTGTATCGTAAAAAGGACGATTTAGGGATGTGACTGTAATATTGGGTTTTTTACTGTGATTAGTTAGATTGGAGTATTCGAATTAATCCAAAGTTTAGATTAAAAAATTTTAAAAATATAATCATTCAATTCGATAGTTTACGTTAAAATTTTAAGGTTATTTGGGGTTTTGAAACACAACTTCATTCAGACTTTAGATTATTCGAATTCGAATTAATAACAGATACAATTCTAGAATATAGAAAATATGCGAATATAATGGCATCCCTAGACGTCCATTGTCTCTCTGATTGCAATATTCCCATCTCAGATGTCCCCTCTGGTCTACGTACCGTATCATACTTCACAGAGGGTAAGGCTAATCAGTCGAAATATGATATTATAAGCCTTTTGCGTAGTATCGTTACCACTGATTTACGATTACCTTGTTTTAATTTTGATTTGCGAACATGTGATTTTAGAGCTGACATAGTACGGCCGTGGGCCAAATCCGGCCCGTTGTGTAACTCATGCTGGCCCGCCTGATGCTGCCACAACCAAAATCCAAATCCAAATCCAAAATGTTATGGTTTAGCTAAAAAAAATAGCTCAAGGAATTTGTTGAAATTGCGAATAAATTTAGTTTTGTCGCGAGGCTTATTGTTTTCCACATTTGCTTTTGTAACACTGTAATTTTGTTCATAAAACGTAACTCGCCGGTCAAAATGGTGGAAACCACTAGGTTAGCGTAAACATAGAAAATGGGGTTCATTGCGAAATCCATGGTTCGCCAGTAACGTTTTCTTCTCGGCGGCTCTTTCTAACAAGCACATTCGCTAGGCTACGTTTACTACGAATCCCATTCTTAAATTTTCAATGCATTGACTCATTTCCATGAGCTATTGTACTTAAAGGGGCCGAGTAGACTAAAATATATTCAATTTAAATGGAAAATTTTCGCCGCTTCGTAGCGGAAGCTGTCATCCTAAAATAGACTTGAAGCTTTGTTTCTTGTATTATGACATAAAAATATGGATGTCCGAACTGTTTGGTATTCTAAAATTTCCGAAAAATGATTCTTTTGGGAATTTATTAGATTTTTGAGTATAGGAACTCGGGATTCGCCCGGCTAATTTTGGATATATCAAATTTCGGGCTCAGTCATAACTATTGCATAATATTTAAAATACCATAGTACGGTTGTGAACTTCATATATCATCATATCTTGAAAAAAAAAATTTTCCAGTCGGCAAAACAAAATTATTCCCGTACACAAGTTTTAATGAATTTAAACATGTTTTCATTTATGTAGGTAGCGATACAAGGCATTTCTCGCAAAATGGCTTTTGCGCTCAAGATTCGTGATAAATTATAACATGTTTCAACGGTCGAGCGGAGCAAAAAATGAAATTCCCACAAATGGTTTTCTCGCTAACGGCCTATCCCGCGAACCTTTTTGTTCAGCTAACATTGTTTCCCACGATATAGCGGGAGCCAACACTATGACGGCATAAACAAGCGGGTATCGATGAAAATAATTAATGCGCTCGTAGACGATTTGTAGTAAACAAGGATTATGATTATTCAAAATAATACACATGTTGTCGTACACACGAACGACGCCCATGAAACGCCTCTCCGGAAATCCACAATTGATCAAATTTATTGTATCTGCGTTGTATCCGTACGTTTGCGGGCTTGTTTTTATGTGTCTGATTTACTATAACTATATTGTAAATATAGTAAATTTTTGACGTGTTACGGTGTCTTTTTCGATTATGGCTACCAGATTTAAATTTGAGAGGGCCTCCTCCTCGCATCATAATCCTGGCACCAAAATGTTGTTATATAAAAAAATATTACTGAGAGCCGCATATAAATAACATAATTTTTCAACCTCTGCTATATCAACTTGAACAATTTACTTATTAAAGAAATTTAATCTTACTGGCTCGGGACATCCGCTCTTTCTTGCGCATAAACTAAAATTTTGCTTTAATTTTTGTTTGTTTTATTCACTCGTTTTCCTTAGCCTTTACTTGTGAAGAATCTTGTTTTCAGAGATCCAATATCTCGTTTTTTTCGTGGCGAAACACATATCATGTTTTTTATTGGATGTAGAGCAACGAACAATGGCTGCTCTACGTTTTAAACATTTAAATACGGTTTAACGAGAAAATTGAGACGATCCGGAATTATTCCATATTGTAACATATTTTCCGCGTAGCATAGTTTTATATTTTATTTTAGGGATAAGTAGGCTGCATTAGCGAGAAAGCTGAGCCTAAACAGCAAGTAGCTAAAAATATAGTAAATATCACAGAAATTTCGAGTAATTGTATAATATAGCTAAAATTTGTGTATTTGAACGAATAGTTTAAATATAAAAACGCGATTTTTTTGAAATCACAATTATACGAGTAATACTTATATGAGAGACCAATAATTTCAGCCGAAGATATACAATAACTGGGAATTTCTTGTGTTAACTTGCATTTTTTATAATTCCTCAGCCTTATGTAAGGATATAAGGGATCGGGTTCGCCGTCTTCCTGCGTTATTTAATTCATCCTAGATCGTGCATGGCACTATTGTAATGCGGGTATTTATAGTATGGCCGTATGTGGCCGATAAAAGTAGGGTCAGATTACATGGATTCAATAGAGTAACGGCTGGTGATAATATGGCGCGATATCGCAGCAGATTTTTAAATTTCAAATTTCTAATCTCATTCAGATTTGAAACCTAAAGTGTGTAAATTCGTGTCCACGGTCCGTCAGAAGGGGCCCTCGATGCCCCTATGGGCGACAAAACGTTCCTTAGTGACCACGAGTAGCCAATCGCGATTACTACTTTAACTTTAATGTCTGTAAATAGTTTAATATTTTTGACTGCTATTCATTCATTCTTTAACTGCGTTTGTTGGCATTTTCCGTATTTCCGAAGTCCCTCTTCGAGCAAGGCTCTAGACCAGTGGTTCCCAACCTTTGATGGTTTGTGGCCCGCTTTTAGCACTCACGGCCCTGTGACTGTAACAAATTTTAAGTATTAATATAGGTACAAACATTTAATTGAAGTGTCGTCTGCTGCAACATTATTGGTCTGTGACGTCATAGACAATGTTTTATTATCTCACAATGTACTTGACAATGGTTCTGAGAAAATGTAATTTAATCACTTAGCGTTGGTCGAATATAACAGGTGTCTTGTCTCGGTGGGATTGTGGGTATTCTCTGTGGAATTGTGGGTACGATATTGTGTCAAGCAACTGATATAATTCTGTTTTTGTAGTGGTTGGAATGCCAGAGTTATTACCGATTGACTAGAAGTTATCGGTTGTCTTTTATCGGTCTACCGTTGACTAACCGTTTTTATCTTTTTTGCAGAAGAGGAAATCGACGTGGTTACAGTTGAAAAGAACAGTACCGTGTTAAAAGCAAAGAACAATGTGACAATCGGACAAAAAGGTGTGACACCCGGGAAAAAGATTCTGGCTACGTTAGTTCCAAAAGAAAACGGAAAATTAACCCTCGTAACGAACACTAGCGGCGCTACAAACTTTATCAGAAAGGGAGTAAAAACCATCACCCAAAATGCTGAGATGGTCGAACGCGGTAGGGCAAGGAGTAAATATCAACTTGTCAATGGAAATGGGCAGAATATCCCCCCTCGCACTGTCATGGTGGTCGAGAAAAAGGCGCAAAATTTGAAAGAGAAATTCACTACAGCGACTGTTGGATCAAAAAGGCGCCACACAGTGGAAGAAACAGCATGCTGTGTCACGAAAGATCAGCAGCCGGTAATGCAAATGGCCAACCCGAAGTTAGTAATGCAGAGGAATAATTCAGTGTCCCCCGTTTCCAGGACGGATGGGAAAAGACGGATTTTGTCTTTAGATGGAGTCTCATTCTGCGCAACCAACGGCGTGCGTCAATACAACACGGATTACATGCGTTCCAAAGACGGAACGAAAATTGGGGGAACTCCAGAAAAAGACTCCGTAAAAATCAAGCAAGTCGTGTTACCAGAAGTGACGTCATCATTTAGTGACGTAGTGAGCAAATTCAAAATCACGAAACAGAAAATACCTATCGGAGCAGCTGTTAAAGTCAAAGAGGAACCGAACGAGTTTCGAACTCGAATTGTTGGATCACCACAGAACAAAAGAAAACGTAAAGCTGAGGCATTGGCCAGCGTGCTGTCTTCTGGAAGTGGATCGGACAGCGAGCAAATACGTGCGGCGCATAACGTACTGGAGCGTCAACGTAGAGAGGGTTTGCGAGCGTCATTCCTGACGTTGCGTGATAACGTACCAGAACTCAGAGCAATGGAGAAGACTCCCAAAGTCAACATTTTAAACAAAGCGAGGGATTACTGCTTGGAACTCCAGCGAGACGAAAAATCACTGACGATCGAGAAAGATCGTCTCATTCGTCGTCAGCAACGGCTGCAATCTCGTCTCGAACGAGCAAGACGAGCTGTCCAATCCATTTCCTCGCCACCAGAAAGCGATTTAGAATCCGAAGTGGAATTATCCGGAAATAACAACAGCTCCCCAATTGTATCACTTCCGCCTTCTCCACCAACTGGATACATCCCAAGCACGAATTATTACGTCACAAACAAAAGGTCACCAACAGAACAACAACAACACGAAGTCGTCTTCAGGTTGGAATCGGCAAAAAACTCTCGCCAAAGAGTCAAAAATACTGATTTTTCTCCTACGGTAAAGCAAGTCAAATGTCAGGCAGATCTACGAGCGATTCTGGCAACGCTACAGAAGGGGACAGACACGAACTTACGACTCTCGTTTCAAACTAGTGATGTTCTTTCCGACGGCTTTGACTGCGGTGATAGCGAAGAAGAGCATTTAAGAACTTTATTTTAAATTTCCCGCGCTTTTTAGTGCGGCCGCCACGTACCCCGTGAATGAGCACAACCCCGACTGAGCTCGATGCTCAAAAAGATCGGTGTGGGCTACTCACGGACGGGCGCTCAGATACATTAAAATGGCCCTCTGTGGCCCGCGCTCTGGATGGCCCTCGTGGCCCAAAAAGACAAGACGACAATTGTAGGCAATACGCTTTATGTATAGTTTCGCCATTATACGCTTATGCTTGTAGTATTTATAGTTAAAGACTATTATATGCTTAGGACTGCTTTTTGTGTTTTTGATTACGTCATAGTGATGACGTCACTAACGATAATGATGTACGGTACTATGTCACATTCACGTGACAGGGCCATACAGGGAGGACTCAAAATAATCGCAATGCGATGAAAACAGAATTTTGGGCGAAAATTTGATTTTGGTCCAAAAATGGATGATTTTGACCCAAAATGGACTTATTTTTTGTAAATTAATATTTCTTTTGTTTTGTTCAGTGTTTCAAACCAATTATGTTGTTTGTTGAGTTTGATTGTTCGTTTGTTTTCGTATTATTACGTCATAATTATGTTCCACTGTGTGTTTGTGCGATAATAATGTTCGTTAATTAGACATGCATTGTTACGTAATAAGAAATCAAGATAGACGACGAATTTACTTATCTTTCGTTAGAATTGAACGAAAAAAGCTAAACTTATCAAGAAAATTTGAATTTTTTACCGCTTGAATGTCCCAGACATCTGATTTATTTTACTGAAGCCCTTAGTGTTTCCGCCCCAATAACATTCGCAAATTTAATTGGAAAAGTTGTAATTTTTTACTCCCCAACCCCTATTTGTTAGTTGTCCATCTAGTACTTACTAGAAATTTCCGCCGCATATACAATAAACATTCGCAAATATAAATTGTATATATTTTTCTTTTTTAAATGCCCCCTCCCCATATTTGTTAATATTTCTTTACCATTTTTTTGTTTTTCTTCTATTTTGAATATTCAACATAACCGTAACCCTGACTACGATAAAAATAAAAATTTTGGGTCAAAATCTCAATTAATAGAATATTAATATTAGGTTTTATGATTTGGGGTCAATAAATTTCATTTATTTCTCAAAATAATGTCCGTGATCGTTTTTTTTTTCTATCTTGTTTATTCGAATAATGTTTTTCTTTTCTTTCCACTGCCAAATATGTATTTTTTTGTCGAAAAGTAGAGTTTTTGTGGTTTTTCGCCTTAAAAATCATAGTGAGATGCCATTAAAATTTGAAAAAATTGATCATAAAGCTATAAACTGCCTAAAAATCAGTAAATTTCGAAATTATTGCTGAATTTAGGTCTTAAAATATAAAAAAAATGTAATTTTTAGCATCAAAATTTTTTTTTTCTTTAATTAAACTACTAAAATTTACTTTTATTTTGGTAAAATTTTGGGCCCATCTCTCTCCATATTTTTTTGTTGTGCCATTATCATCAGTATTTTTGTTCTTTTAAGTTACAGTCATGAAATTTGGGTTAAAATACCAGTTTTAATGTTAAACCTAATTTTATTTTTTGTTTATTGAAAAGTTAAATCTTTGGAATTGTTTATTATGTCGTCACTCAATTATGACGTTTATCCAACTATTATTACGTCATCACCTTTTAATAGTTTATTTTATAATCACCCTCGAGCTCTTATGATGTTTCCCAACCCGTCACTATTATTTTATTGTTACGTCAGTTTATTATACTATGACGTCATCGAGTTTTATGACGTCATCACCACCAGTAGCCTTGACTGCCCTATTATGCATTCCTATCATTTTTATTATGCTTATCTCCCCCACTTTCGGGCCCAAAATTTTATTTTTTCTGTTTTGTGTTTGTAGTTTGGCTTCTAAGTCGTCCAATACGCGATGCTGCTATTAATGTAGAAAAGTTTTTTTTTGTTTCCATTTTTCTGCTTTTTTTTTCTTTTAGGGGGTAGTTTTGGGCGCAGTTCAGTTGGTGCTAAACTCCATAGCGAAAGTAGGTCAAATCGAGTATGGTCTCCTTGTATAATTCATTATTATCGTTCGATTTATCCATGTTTCAAGCATGAAACTGTATCTCGTTTTTAGTCCCAAAACGGAGTTTTTCTGAACTGTGCCCTAACTCCCTCCTCAATTTCGTTCAAATTTTTGTATTATATATATTAATCTAGTTATTATTAATTTAGGCTTGCTGTGATATATTAACCATATTTTTTTCTGTGACGTGATAACATAGGGTATTCCCCTTGGCATTGTTTGGCTAATTAATTTGATTGTAATCGTCATAATTTAATTCATCTTAAATTTAGTACATCGAGAGATAGGGTTCCCCAGTTTTTGGAATTGTGCTGACCGGACATTTTTGATAAGAATGAATACGTCATTGGGGTTCTTAAACTTGGCTCGTGTCCTCTTTTTTTCAAACATTGCTACCCCTACCGCCCACCAAAAAAAACTTTTCACTTGTAAGAGGTGAGATGGATCTGGCGACCTACTCCTCCCCCTCTCCTTTCTGAATAATTTAAAAAATAATGTCGATAAAGAAAAATTCACCTTTTCCATAAAAAAAGAAGTTAACCCCAGTCCTGAAAAAAAAAAGTTTTCTTACCCCCACTCACATTCCAAAAAAATACAACAGAATCCCCCTCCCAATTCTGGAAAAAAAAAATTATCCAAATCTATATAGTTTTAGAACCCATAATTCAAACTTTTTGATTCAATGTTTGAAACTCGCTTCTGAGTTCGGATTCGTTCATTTTCGAATAATTCGTTTGTTAAATAATTCTTTCCTTGTTTTATTTCGTTTTTCTTTGGTGGTATTTCTGCTTTGAATAAATTCAAGAAAATGAAGAAAAATTGGGGTTTCAATAAACTAGGGAATGTAGGGAAGAGATTGTAAGGGATAGAAATAGATGTCTAGCCAAAAGTCTGAAGAAATATGGAAAAACAAGAAAAAATGGGGTTTTGCGTTCAATTAGGAAAAATGCAGGGAAGCTATAAGGAAGTGGGGCCCAACCTTCTATGACTCGCGGCTCCCTTCCGGTAGGCTTTTAGGACTTATGACTCGCCCCTGTTTATCATTCCGGTGGTATTCTCAGTGTTATTTATTAAAGCAATGAAACTAGGAAGAACGAGTTTTATTGTTAAACGAAGAGTGAAATCAGTTTTTCGCTTATTATTGTGTCCCCTCCAACTGCTCTGAATTCCTTTTTGGGAAAACGGGCCCTTGATAATTTCGTTGCGCGTTTAGTCGATGTCGCTTGAAGATATCGGGTCCATCCGTAATTTATGTATGTGTATATGGTATATTCTAAGCCAGGGTTAGGTTATCCCATGTAAGTGTCTAGTCAACAGTTTACCAAAGTTTGGATGATCTGAAGAAAACCGTGTTTTCTTGTAAATATGAAAATTTTGGGAAAGCGGGGAGTCAGAGGGGATTGGGCACACGCTTTTGGTGTGTTTCGCTGATTAGATCGGGTTCAAGTCTATGCTCTGTCTCAACCAGTGGAAAAGTGTAGTGAAAAATCTGTAGTGCACGTCGATTGTGATTGCGTAAGACAGGGTCGGCCAACCTTTTTGGTCGAAGGGCCACATGTAGTTCACTAATAATTTCACGGGCCACTTAAAATGGTAGTTATGTTCTAGGTTTGCTACACTGACTACAGGTTAATGAACAAGCAAACAATACCCTCACACCAAACTTTCACAATTATTATACCAATAAAGCTGTTATGTCCCAACCATTGATGGGACGCCATCAGTGGTTATTCCCCAAAGTTTCGCCAAAGACAAGCCAAGACGTTTGATTCATTTTTATTACAGCTCTCAACAAATCAATGCCTCCAGTCGATCCTTAATAGGGACAATGGCTGTCGGCTCTTCGGTAATTTCAAATCATTATTAACTCCCTGCAAGAAGATCGCCAACTGAGCAGTATATTTGATGTCAGTGCTTTCGCCAAGCGCCACGGAATACGATGAAAATTTTCTCACTTTTACAATTAATTAAAGTTCCTGCTATCGATTTCCCAGACTCTTCAACACGACGAGTTATGGTCTGTCTTGACAGGCTATTTTTGCAAACACCTCTTTTATCTCCGGACGTAAAACATTGGCAACCCGAACAATACATTCCTTCGATTGTTTTGCAATAACGTCATATAGAGTAGTAAAAGACCAAGAGTGTAACCGACTATGGCATCTTGTATCGATTGTATGTATCGATATCTCCTCCCAGTTGGTTTCGATTCAAAATAGCACTCATGAACAAATCGTTTGTATCACATCTTTACTCATTTTTTTTATTCAATTCTGAAAAATACAGCGGGGGCCACTCTAAATGCTTCCATGGCCATGGGTTGGATGACCCTGGCGTAAGATATACCAGGTCGAGCTATCTCACCTCGGATTATTAGTCCCAAACGGAATTATATCATAAGCCCCCATGTATCAATGGATGCTTGCCTATGCCTTGTTTCAAGCAGACATAAAAAAATAAAAAATAAATCCTATTAAAAAGAAAAAGTTTATTTTAACACTGTTGCTTCGAGTCTCAGCCGTTTAGGCTTAGCTGGCGATATTAACTATATCTACTTCCAGGGTTGATGTCTCAATTTGCTAAGGGCGTAGTATCGCTATGTAAAAAATTTGTGAACTAACAAGACTGATGTCTACGTGACCTGACAAAAATTCTCTCGCTCTCACGTGACTAGAGATTGTTCGATCACAATGAGAACGTAAATGTTACTTTCCCGCGTAAAACGAGAGAACTTTCTAATGGCGGGAAATTATGTAATGCATATATATAACATATGTAAATAGTTCTTCCCTAAACGTAGGCCCTGCATAATAGTCAGCAAATGAGTATTTTTTACGTTTTTCACTCGAAACAACAAACAAGGCTCTTTACAAAAAAGAATGCCCTAGGTCTGACAAAATCTCAGCGTTCCATGTTCATTGTCACCTAATGCGCTAAATTTGAAATTAAGCCAACTACTTACAACCAGTTTATGTAAAAAGCAAATGACATCATTGAACATGACGTCAGTGAGTTGGGGCAGTGTTGTTTTTTTACCAGGGCCGAACGCATTTTTTGGGGGGTGGGGAGTACTTAATCTTTTCAAAATACCGTACATAGTTACTTTGGTACTCCCGAAATATGTGAACCAAGATGGCGGACACCGGATGTGTACCAGGTTACGGTTGGGCCATAATTTTATTCCGATTTCCCTTATTTTAGTTCTATTACGAGTTCGGGGACTAGCCAGGTTGACCCCGTAGTATTTGTACCTTAAAACTGGAGTACCGTTACTTTTAGTTAAAACTTAATATGTGAAATATACCAAATTAAGGATTTTTTGAAGAAATATATCAGATGAAAGGGTAAGAACATCATCAATCGACACATATTTATTGACAAATGAAAGTAACAGAATATCAGTCAACAGTGTTCACTAAAATAATTTTGACAAATTTAGTAGCAAGGGTCGCACAAAAGGCTTTTTCGGGCTGCAAAAAGCCCTCGAGCCGTAGTTTGTTAATTCCTGGATATTCTTGGCAATCTTGAGTTTTCCCCTCGTAAAGCGATCACAAATGGTATTTTTATTTATAGAGATTCCGGGTCCGCCCCCGCGATTGCGTAACGTTTTGGGCATTTAATTTGAATTCTAAGAGATCAGGCGAAGCGAAGCAATTTATGAAATGAGGGTGACAAAGAAAACAATTTTGATTGTCCTACTTTAAAATATTTTGATTTGCGAGCCATCATATCGCCTAACTTGACTATAAAAATAGCCCAAAGTTTTAAAACTATTCTATGATTGAACGTACCACCAAAACAATATGATTATCGAGCTCTGAAACAATTTTTCCCGCAAAGGCTGTCGCTCTTTCTATATATTCTTATATATATATAATATCCCCCTAAATTTTCAAGAAATCAATGCTAGTGTACAGTGTACAAAACTGCTATGCGTAAAAAAAGCCATATGG